GAAACAAACTGGGTGTGCTTAATTCGCTTTGTAGTGCAGACCCAGTTATTCTCAGTGTGATTTCATCAGTTCAACCGGTTCGACCAGTCTGACCAGTCTGTTTTATTGTTGCAGCATTTCCAAGATGGCCGCCGTGCACAGCAGCACATTGAGAGCTCCTGGAAACAGCTGGAGTCTGTAAGTGACCTTTGCCCCTGCCCACCAACACACTGTCCCCACCCCAAACTCTGTAAAAGCGGAAACTTGTTTGGACTGTTTATTTTTGTTTGTTTGTTGGTTTTTTTACTTATTTTTCAGAGTAAGCGGCGGTTCGAACGTGACTGTAAAGAGGCGGAGCGAGCTCAGCACGTCTCCGACAAAATCGACCTGGACAATAAAACGGATGGCGAGAAGGTCAGAACACTAAGCTCTTGTCAGGGGGAGTGTGGGCGAAGCTTGAGCACCCCTGCAGTGATATGATTGGACTTTATTTATCAACTATGACCCAGGGGTTAAATAAAACAGCTGATTGTGGTCCATTTTAATCCCTAACATCATACTTAGTCCTGTCTGTCTGCCTGTGTCTCTCTCTGTTTGTCCGTCCATCACAGCGCTGCTCTCTGAAGGTGCGTCTCTTCTTCACTGATAAGCATATTTTGAGTCGTCTCTCGTTGGCAATCGTCGGTGTGAAAGTTTTTTCTGTTTTCAGGCTCGTCAGACAGCTCAGCAGAAACAACAAGCTGCTGAGGAGTCCAGGAAAGACTACGTGACAAGTTTAAACCAGTTTAACCAGGATCAGCACCAGCACTACCACACACTGGTACCAGTAATTTACCAGGTAGGACTTCCTGTTATGCAGTGATGTCATCAGTGAGTGTGGCGATGTGTACTCAGGCATGTGCCTCTGCCCTGCAGCGTATCCAGGACATGGAGGAGCGGCGGATCGAGAGGATTGGGGAGGCGATGCGTTCATTGGCCGAGGCTGAGAGAAAAGTTCTTCCTGTTGTGAGCCGCTGTCTGGACGCCATGATGGAAGCTGCTGAAAGCATACAGCCAAGAAAGGTGAGAGTCCCAGGACTTCGCCCACAGAACCAAACACCTGATTTAGATTAGGCTAATTTGGCCTGAAGGTTATTTCCATGTACACATCTGGATATCTAGTTTTCTCCCTAGAAGTTCCGATGTGACCGTGTTGATGTCCTTGAGTCCATCGACCCTTCAGACTGAATTTGGTTAGATGAGTAAACTCACAGGAAACACGCCAGCGAGCATGGCGGGTGGAAAGGGAATATCTAACGCCACCATCTGGCCAGGTTGCGTGCTGAGTTTGCACGTGTCTCTGGGTTCTCCGACTTCCACTCTGGTTTTGTCTGTTCCAGAAGTCCTGTGCTTTGTTCTGATGCAGCTTTTCAATCCTAACCCAATTCTGCCACGCTCTTCTTAGAAGAGAGGCTTTCTCCTTCCAAACAGCCACACTTGTTTAATCTCAAAATGTTGATTATGTCCATCTGGTTCTGTTCAGTGAGAGAAATGTTTCATCATCATCAGGTGACGTCTTCAGTCTCAGCTGACTGCAGGTTTCAACCTTATAAACAGGACATTTGCACAATGACTGACACTAGCAGCACTAAATGAACGATGGGCTGTGAGGTCAGTTTATGATCATGTACCATTCACAGAGAGTTGGGGAATGGCTGCAATCACAGCATTGTAAGATGGTGACAGATGTACCCTTAGGCCCCCTCCTGGATACAGAGATCAAGGTCAAGGTAACTTTATTTATACCCATAGGCAAGGTAAATTTGCTTTACAGACAAAATGATAGCATTTGGCATCCCTTCAAAAACAAACATACCTAATAAAGATATAAACCTCCCTGTAGCACATATATAGTAATTTAATATTTCGAATCAAAAACAGTTCTTATTTAATTCAGTGACAGCAACGGGGACAAAGCTATTTTTATAAAGCTTTGTCCTGCATCTCGGACATAGAAACCTCCGTCCTGAGGGAAGAAGCTGAAATTCACCCCTTAGAGGATGGGAACCATTTTTAAGGATTGATAAAGCCATCCTCTGTACCTGCTTGGAGTACAGGGAGGCTAAACAAGACTGTGGCTCACCTATCAGACGACTGGACCATCTCACTATCTGATTCAGAGAGTTTTTCTCTGTGACAGAGGTCTAACCGAACCATGCCACTAAACAAAAGGACAAAATAAAAGAACGAAACTGTTCTAAAAGTCTTTTAATTAAAATATGGGGCTGTATTGTATTAAAAGCCGAAGAAAAGTCAATGAAAAGAAGTCTTGCAAAAGTCCCTTTACTGTCTACAGTTTAAGAATCAGATTTAGTAAAGTCAAAAGTGCGTCCTCCGCTCCTCTGTTGGGCCTGTATGCAAACTGCATTGGATCCAGCTGATGTTCAGTCTCTTTCATAATCACATTTCTGATGATTTTTTTCAAAGACTTTCATGACAACTGAAGTGAGGGCAACAGGCCTGAAGTCGTTTAGAATTGTTGGACGACTAGATTTAGGGACAGGAACCACGACTGCTTCTTTGCAAAGAGAGGGCACATGTTGTGTTTGCAAGGATTTATTCAAAATAACCTGAAATATAGGACTGAGTTCGTCAGCACAAGATTTAATTAGGCGGCCACTAATATTATCAGGACCCTGGCTCTTGTTCACATTGACTGTATGAAAGGCCTTTTTAACATCGCTGAGTTCAATAATAAAGTGCTGAGTGTCTCTCAGTTTCTGTTTCAGTTCCCAAATATCCTCGCTAAAATCAGAAGAACTAAAACGAGCATAAAACATATTTAAAGCGTTTGCAAAATCTCTGTCTGAATTAAACCATCTAAAATGACCTGACTGCTGCTCTGAGGATTTTGAAACCCTGCTATGGTTTTCATACAAGTCCAGGCAGACCCAAAATTTTTTGCAGCACATTTGCTTTCAAGAAGGTTTTTGTAGCTCTGTTTTGCTTTCAAGAGCTCAATTTTCAGGTCCTTGGTGGCTGTCTGAAAATCAGTAACAGCCCCCTCTTTAAAGGCCTGTCTCTTTTTCCTTAAAGAGGATTTGACGCTTTTAGTGACCCATGGCTTATTGTTAGCGTAGACTTTAACGCGCTTACGGGGTATAATCATGTCTTTACAAAATATTGCATAAGAGCTAGTAACATCCACCAAAGCGTCGAGATCATCTCCACAAGACTGAATAAAAACTTCCCAATCTGTACACTTAAAACATTCCTGCAAGGTAAGCACAGATTCTTCTGACCATATGTCAACATCCTTAGTCTTTGTCTTCTCTCGTTTTAAGACAGTTTTATAGATGGGCAGGAGATGCACACAGTTATGGTCAGAAGATCCCAGAGGAGGAAGCGGGAGGGATTTATAAGCATTCTTCACTGATCCGTAACAAAGGTCCAATATTTTATCCCGTCTGGTAGGACAGGATACATATTGATACAGATTGCCCAAAGTTGATTCAAGAGAGACATGGTTAAAGTCCCCCATTATAAAGTTTGGGCGTCAGGAGAGAGTGCCTGCAGCTTCTGCACTACGTCTGAGATGATGCTGCAGGTGGAGGGGGGGTGAGCCCTGAATGTAAGCTATGGTAATAAAAAGTTGTGGAAACTCACGAGGGAGATAAAAAGGGCGCAGTGACACGGATAAAAGTTCAACATCTGGTGTACAAATACACTCTCTAACAGTCACAGCGCTACAGTAACGTTTGTTCACATACAAGCATACTCCCCCTCCTTGAGATTTCCCTGTTACCCGTGCATCCCGATCCCGGCGAAAGGGAGCTCCAAAACCGTCAACTGAAAAATCGGCATCCTGGTCCAGCTCCGTCGGCCATGTCTCGGAAAAAGCCATCACTCAGCTGTCCCTGAAGTCTTTCTGGAACCTGACGTTTCCCTGGAGTTCATCCAGCTTGTTCCTAAGAGACTGAACATTTCCAAGGATAACAGAGGGCAGGGGAAACCGACTGACCTGTTGTCTCCTCAGACGCAATTTAACACCTCCACATCTCCCTCTTTTCCTCTTCTCACTCGTTCTGTTAGAGTCTCTATGTATAAAATCCGGCATACATGAGGTGAGGTCCTTACCATCATACGGTAAGTTAAGTTGTAACAGCTCGTCGCGGGAGTAAACAATCCTCAGCTGACTCACGGCCTCGCCCACATCATCGGAAACAAGCCAGCACAGTAGAAATCCAACCACAATGAAGAAAAAAGAATCCATGATGTTCTCACTGTTGTGGAGCGTCACTTTGTAAGAAAACTGTCACTTCCTTCAACCAAAACACATGCCAGCGATAGAAACAAAAAGAAACGATAAGAACTTAAAAACGTAAAAACTTAGGATGCCAAGCTCTCACTCACTGCCGGTCGCTGCGTGCGCATGCGCCCTGGTCTTTCCCTTTTCACGTAAATGGCCTCCTTGACTCAGCCCTCAAACCAGCGTTCCTCCCTGTCCAGGATGTGTACATCCTCATCCTTGAAAGAGTGTCCACTGGCCTGTAGGTGTAAATAGACTGCATGGCCTGACGAGGTAGCTTTTCTGTGTTGTAGCCAGAGGTTGTTTGGTTTCCCCGATGTATAAATCCTGGCAATCCTCCTGCACTTAACAGCGTACACCATGATCCTTGGGGTGGACCAGTTTTTGGCGCAGCGTGTTTTGAGTGTTTAAAGTTCCCGGCTTTGACAAAAGTCCAGCTTTCTTACTGTGCTGTCATGAATTTTGACCTTTAACCTTCTAACTGAGGTGCGGGAGGGTGTGCATCTGCAGATATGTTTCTAATGAAGGAGCTCCAAAATGTGCCTTCATAAACACGCCAATATGGGATGTAAAGGTCAAAGGTTAGCTGATGTTATGTGGTGAATGTCCTTTCAGGACACCCGTCAGGTGGTGGAGGTGTATAAATCAGGATTTGACCCCCCGGGTGATGTCGAATTTGAAGACTACAGCGCCACCATGAGGCGGAGCATCTCTGAATCCAGTTACCTCGACAACCGGACAGAGGAGCGGAGACAAAGCAGAAAGCTGTGGCCCTTCATCCGAAAAACCAAGGTATACGCGCGCACACACACACACACACAAGGTGCAGATGAGACACACCTGGAGGAATCACCTGGCTGTACTCAGGTCCTTTTCTCTCTTTTCAGTTGCTTACCCTCCTGTCCTCCCCCCGCCAGCCTCCACCCCCACCCCCAACCTCTCCTTCACCCGGGGGCATGGCCAACAGTCCCCAGTCCCCACCCACAGCCACCCGAGAACCAATCACACAGCGGCTGAATGACCTCATGACCTCTGGCTACAGAACCAGGAAGCAGTGTCTGCGCAGCCTCAAGAGAGGGGTACAAGATGTACTACATACTGTACTACATGAAATAATATGTTATATCTTAAATACTATAACACATATTGGAGTCCAGCTGCTGTGAGGTTTACACCACCAACTAAAGTCATATTTATGTCTCTGTGATGGTTAATCCAGCAGCATGCACTTTAATCTACGTGATATTTTAATGCTACAATATTATAATCATCATCATTATTATGTTTATAATTGATGAAGAAACCAAATGACACTCAGATGTTTATTTGATTGCCAAATAATAATAATGGATTGGATTTATATAGCACTTTCAAGGCACCCAAAGCGCTTTACAATGCCACTATTCATTCACTCACTGGTGGAGGCAGCTACGGTTGTAGCCACAAGCTGCTCTGGGGCAGGCTGACAGAAGCGAGGCTGCCATATCGCGCCATTGGCCCCTCTGGCCAACTCCAGTAGGGTAACGTGTCAAGGACACAGCGACCAGGACAGAGAGCCCGGGGATCGAACCGGCGACCTTCCGGTTATAGATGCGCTTCCCAACCCCCCTGAGCCACGGTCGCCCCTAGCAGCTTTAAAACACTGATTCTCTAAAAAAATAAAAAATAGTTTCAAACACATTGATCACAAATTTCTAAATTGTTTGAGTTTTTATGACTAATAATTGTGTTAGGCACTGTCTACTACGTACTGTTTCCTACACTAACTGCTGCAGTGCAAGCTGTTGTGCACGCACACACAGTCGCCTGGCACATTCATGATGACATCTGTTGTCTTTCTTCCTGCTCGCCTCTTTGACCGGACAGCTGTCACTCAAACTGGTCAGTATCTCACCTGTCAGAGACGTCCAGGTGTGTTTGAGCCTTCGACTTACTGATGTTTAACGAGTGTGTTGATGCTGCAGGGCTCGAGTCCGGCCGACTGCAGCCATCTTCCTCCTGAACAGAGACGCAAGAAACTTCAGGGCCGCATCAATAACATCAACCAGGAGATCCAGAGAGAGCGCGAGCAGAGGTGACACACACACAGACACGCACACACAGACACAGCACACACAGACACCACACACACACACACAGACACACACACAACACACACACACACAGACACGCACACACACACACACACACAGACACCACACACACACAACACACACACACACCCACACACACACAGACACACACACAGACACACACAGACACACACAGACACACACACACACACAGACACACACAGACACACACACACAGACAGACACACACAGCACACACACACAGCACACACACACACAGACCACACACACACACACGACACACAGACACACACACAGACACACACACACACACACTCTCACACACACACACAGCACACACACACACAGACACACACACACAGACACACACACACACACACACACACACACAGCACACACACACACACAGAAACACACACACAGCACACACAGACACACACACACACAGCACACACACACACAGCACACACACACACAGCACACACACACACAGCACACACACACACAGCACACACAGCTACACACACACACACACACAGCACACACACACACAGACACACACACACAGACACACACACACAGACACCACACACACACACAGACACCACACAGACACACACACACAGACACACACACACAGACACCACACAACACACACACACACACACAGACACACACACACCACAGCACACTCACACACAGCACACACACAGACACACCACACGACACACACACACGCACACACACAGACACACACACACACACACACACACACACACACACACACAGACACACACACACAGACACACACACACAGACACACAGACACACACACACAGACACCCACACACACGGACAGACACCGCGCACACAGAGACGCACAGACACACACACACAGACACCCACACACATGGACAGACAATGCGCACACACAGACACCCACACACACACACACAGACACCGCGCACACAGATACAGACACACACACACACAGACACCGCGCACACACAGACACACACACTGATCTGATTCCATTTTCTGTTCAACTCAGTGTTATTTACACAGCACCACATCACAGCAGCACTCTTACAGTACAAGTCACAGTATGAGGTGGTGACTTAGCTAGCGCACAAACGTTATTAGCGCTACCCACGAATAACTTGAAACAACTCTCTTATTCGCTCACCATATAAAACAAGAATTACACTCCAAACATGTTAAATAAGTATCAACTTTACATAAATATATGTAGTGCTTGTATATTGCTCTCACCTGAAACACAGCAAAACAGTTCAGTGTTATTGACGGCTTCCATTACAATAAGTTACTTTTGTGAGGGATTATTTTGCCAGTCACCCGTTTGACCCGCCACTGCCACCTACTGGCGAACCTAAATATCGCCTCATTTGCTCCCACCTAAACATCACATCAGGTGGGAGCAAATGAGCTTTTCGCTCTGTGCTATGATGCAAACTAGTGTCACAACAAATAGCAAAAAAGATGATATGGGGGGGCGCTGTACATGAACACACAAGGAACGCATCTCAGACTTGTTCTTGATGCTCAAAATACTTGGGGTGCCACACCTCCATATTTTTTAGATCTATAAAAAAAACTTGTGAGACTTTATCAGAGGTGTGAGCATCACAGCAGATCTCTTTGTGTCACTGAGGATAAAACAGAAAAACGTGAAGCAGATTTTCCTGGCCTGGCTTTTTATAGCAGATAACCAATATTCTGCAGTAGAACAAAAACAGAAGAAAACCATGAATCAACATGTGAACATGACCTGATGCTGCTGAAGTGAAGCAGAGCAAAGTTACAGAGGTTTGATTACACTGTAAAATGTAATTCTAGATGTTTGTTATTGTAACATATTATTCTATATCAGTTTGATGATAGATGACTGAAGTTGTTGTTATAGCACAAAATTACAAGTTAAAAATGTCCCAATTACACCAAAAAAAGCTCACTTGAAAACTCATGTCCAGCTAAATCAGCAACTTATGTGAACTTGACAATATGGGGAAGTTGAGCACAGCAGGATTCAAAACTGCCTCATGTGACTGCTATCGAGGTATCGAGGTGCATCATGGGGAATTGGCGGTTAACGACATGCTCACTTTACTTGGACATTTTCTAATCGTCTTCTTTGGAATCTGCTTTCAAGGTGAGTAACATTGGTTATAATTACAAGGAAAGAGAGCTACAAAAGTTGGAACATGTTTTGAATTTATGGCATGTGTGTTTTTCTCTTTTACCAAAATCTTTGCTTTAGCTAATATAACTTTAGCCGACAAGGTCCAGCTTGTGTGTCATGACCACACTTAACCTAATAAACTGAAATATGGCCTTTTTATGGGTAGCACTGACCAAATCAAAAGTATTGTGCCGCTAGCTTTAAGGTTGTACACTCAACCACTGTTGCGATATTAGCAAGCTAACTCAGCTAATTAATATAGCTTATTTCACATTGTCTCTGTACTTGTAAATTTCTTTGAAGTTCACAGGCTGTTGTATTTTGGTGGAAGTTCATTTTGGCAATATTTCCAATAACTGGCTGGGTTCAAAAAGAACTATTTGGCAGGACTCCTGTGCTTGTTGTTATCTGTTTACTCCTATGTAATCACTTAAGTTGTTATTTACTGCTGCATGCTAAGCTGTGAAAGTGCATTGAGGACTGAGACAAAATATGATCTACAAACCAGCATTATATTAGTTTTTTATCAGATAGTCCTCCAGTGTGTTTATTTCTTGCAGTAATTATATTGTGCAGTTATTTCTTACCCTGAAATGCTTAATGCTTAACAACAGATCCATTTTAACTTATTTTTGAACTCTTGTGATCAGTTTGACCAAATTGTGTGAGTTTCCATACTAAAAGGGCTGTAGTGATAAAATAATTGGCATGAGAGACACTGATTTTTGGAAGTCCCTTGGGTTGTTTCTGATTTTTTTTTTGTTTGCATAATTTAACTTTTAATTTAACTGCATTCCCCGTATTGTAACAAAACTAACATTGTTTATATGTCAGAAAATTAGCAAACAGCATAACATACAATACAATTATAACATATATTTTTATTTTACTTATTTTAGATCTGTGAAGCCAAACTTGATGCCGGGCATTTGTTCTTGCCAATGGAGTCAAATGGTAAGTTACCTTTTGTGGGTTTATTTTCATACTGGAAACACCACAGATTATATTGTAATTTAATAGCTCTGTAGAACAAATGATATAACGATTGTAGTGTCAGGGTACTTTATTTTCACAGGTCTAGATGATCACATCTGTTTTTGTCATTTAAATGAGGTGGACTTGCAAACTTTGCACTTTTCTGTGGAAATTGCTGTCCACTTCCCTGCACATACACAGAATGTGGACAGTATTTCAGATCTAAAAAAGCCTTACAGGTTAATTTAAGAGATCATGTGGTCACAGAAGGAGTATGTAATGGACTTGCTGGCTTTAATGTAAAAAGCCTGTTGTGTAACTTTGAGGCAGTATATTGCTCATCAAGGTAAACATCTGAGGAATAAGAAAATTGTTACTTTTAATCAGTGTTCTTTTACATCCCACATTTACTAAAGTTTTACATCACATAAGAGTTGTTTTTACACTCATTCTACTTTAAAATATTTCAAGACAGAACTTATTGTTCACTGAACGGCAGGTAAAGTGCATCTTTTTGTTTGTTTGCTTTTGTGTGTTTGTGTTTTCTCTAATGGGCCTCAGATGATGGTTTGCTTAAATTTGAGTCTCAAAGCATTTAAAAAAAATTCTGCCTGTACTCCCCACTAGGGCTGGGCAAAGCAATGATTTTCCTAATTGATGAATCTAGCGATTAATTTTTCAATCCAATTCGATTTCGATGAAAAACACAAATTTCTTCATTTGAACACCTTATAATAATAAATAATTGCAAATTTTGCAAGTTATGCATTGGAGATTTAATAAAAACAAAATCCACAATGAAATTGTAGTACAATCTTCTGTTTTTAACAAAAAATTAAATGTTGTGCAAAACAAATATGAATAAAGGAACTAATAGGAAAAAATTAATAAAATATAAACAGCAGCAATGGCGTCTTTGAACAAATAAAACGTAACATTCACTTTGCTCTCTGCAAAAAAAGTGCTCTTTGTTAACAAAATATCCATTTTGCTGCCTTCTCTCCTATTTCTGTGTGTGTGTGTTCAATCACGTTCATCACATGAAGTAGTTATGCATTGGAGTGGAGGAATGTTGGCATTTCTACATACTCAGCAGTCAGGCTTGCCCTTTTTTTGGTGACAGTGTTTCCAGCAACTGAAAAAGCCTTTCAGATGGTGTTGATGTGGCAGGTACAGCCAGATATGATTTGGCTAAAGTTGCCAGTGTGGGGAATCTTGTTGCATTATTCTTCCACCATGTAAGGGGGTCATTATCCCTTGGAATAGGGGCTTCCCCAAAATACAACAGTACTTCTTTCCTCACCGCCTCATTTTCTCCATCCCGACCCTGGTCAGTGTTTTCATTACAGTCTTCCTCCTCAGAATCTGTACCCAACAAAGTGTCCAACGCAGACCTCTTCTTCTTCGTCGGGGGACTCGCTGAGGCTTCCTGTCCCACATGTTCCTGCTGCAACTGTGATCTCTGCTCCCTTTTGAGATCAAGTGCCTCCCTCTGTACTCTTACTTGCAGTTTCAGAGCATCTTTTTGAGAAAGGAATTTCAGTTCATGAAAACGTGAATCGAGGGCAGCAGCAATGAGTGACACATTTTTTTTCCATCTGCTTGAAATGCAGATACCTCTGGCTGCCACCTATACAAGATTTCCTCTTCTGCACAGTTCTGGAAAGAGTTCACTGCAGCAGAATCAAATGATTTGTTTTGGGTGGATTTCAGGAGACCTTTCAGCAGGGTGGAAGAACAGAGACTGTGACATAAGACTGTCCACTAAGAACATTAGTGGCTTGCTCATAAGGCTTGAGCACCTCC